GGGCAGAGTGACGGCCGCCCCAACGGCCACAGAGAAAGAACAAACTACAGAATTCAAGACTCTGCTTCCTCGAGCCGACCGACATTCAGCTGTCTGCCTGTGAACAGATCCTCCACGGGATCAACTCCAAAACCACCATGAGGAATGACAAAAGAATCTACCCCAGAGGCTGGCGGGCTAACACGTCTCTGGACCACAAGCCCTTCGCCGAACACGTGTTAACCACCTTGTGTGACTGATGCAACCAAACGTCAGGATGCTTCCATGGTGAGGATACGCTCACCAAATAGGAAGTCGGCGCCATTTTAACATCAGCTACCGTGTTCTACCCAGACTCTGAAAGAAAAATGTCATTCCTGTGTGTAATAATTATGTGTATAAATGCCATCAGCACAGATAATTCTTAAGTCTTGAAGGTGCTAAGTTAAGAACGAGCTAAGGAAGCAATTCAGTGATATTAACTCATTCCCTGGGGTCTACTATGGTCTACTGAGGTTTCCAAGGCTCTGTTGACTCCAGGAGCAGACGCAGACTTTTAGGAAAGGAGCTAATTTTCTGTGTGATTCTCTTGAAAAGAGCAGGCAGATGTATCTCAGAGGAGCAGCCTGAGGTCGGAGTGCAATAGTCTTAGGTTTTTCAAACACCTGTCTGCATGTCCTTGAGTTGGTCACTTAAACAGCCAGAGTCTCTGCTTTCTTAACTTGTAAAATGAGGTGTTTGAGCCAAGGTCTACGGCAGCCATAAAGATGCTATGATTCTCTAAGTAACAGTTTCTTGTGCTGCTGGCAGGTCCACCTCGATAATCAGAATGATCCAGTTAGCACTCTGCAATGTGGACTACTCTAGCTGTGGTTTAAAAAAAAAAAACAATAACAACAAAAACAGGGGCACCTGGGTGGCTCAGTTGGTTAAGCATCTGACTTCGGCACAGGTCATGGTCTCACAGTTCGTAGGTTCAAGCCTTGCGTCGGGCTCTGTGCTGATGGCTCAGAGGCTGGAGCTGCTTCAGATTCTGTGTCTCCCTCTCTCTGCCCCTCCCTCACTCGCACTCTGTCTCTCTCTCAAAAGTAAATAAACATTAAAAAAAAAAAAAAACCACACAGACAATTTCAGAGAGGAAGGCATTCGGATCATGAAATACAGCCACCTTGTTTTTCAAAACCAACGGAGAATCCAACGCTGAAATCTGATGGCAAAGATGCTGAAAACCATTGCTAAATTACAAGCTAATTACTAGCAGAAGCAAAATGAGGGCCGCCAGCCCGCTAGCCCGGTGTGACCACACCGCCACCCAGGTGGCTTCGGCCCTGCTTCCTGCACCAGGAGTTGCCTCGCCCCTGCATAATCCATAGCATGCCTTTTATGCGACTCATAAACACAGCCTACATCACAGCTGTGCTTTACTGGCCTCAGGGTTATTAGTTTTCCAGACACCTCATCTAGGAGCCACTGGAAGAGTGGCCTTAAAGGTCTTCATGAAAAACAGGCCAGGATGAAACACTGGGAAAAGTCCTACGAGGACTGTGGATGATGGCAACTGTCCGTCTACCCCCTGCTTGCTTCCCATTTTATCAAGTGAGCGTGCTGTAGGCAGGACCATCCTGGGGAACCAGTCCCGATGCTGGAACCCCCAGAGCCAGGCTGAGCATCAAGGACGGGAGCTTCTGTGTCACTCTGGCTTCAGGTCACTGCACCAGCAGAAAGAGGCGTCTGCACAAATCTGCAAGCCTGACAGCACAGACGCCGCCCTGGACGGCCACCCGCAAACACCCACGTCTGTCCCTGGCCAGGCAACACCAGCAGCTGCTGGGGGGCGGGGGAAGGTAGGTGATATCTACCCCCCCACCCCACCCTCCGGATGTGGACTCAGTGAGGGACAGCTCTAAAAACCTTTTAGGCCCAGCGGGGAGTTTCTGAGCCGGGATCAATGCCTCATGACGCTGAACATGCTGTGGTGTGTTCCAGTATGGGCCACCTTGTTCCAAAGAATACAACACATGGGGACGTTAGAGCCTAAATCACGTCGGATCCGCCAACTTGTCAAATCTCTCAGACATGATGCTGCATGAGGGAGGCCAGACCACATATGGGTACGCACTGCACGACTCCACTCATGTAAAATTATAAATAAAAAGCAAAAGCATAATGGTGACAGAGCCAGAACAGTGTTGGTTCCTCAGTGGGGGAAACTAGGGTGTTGGAAATACTCCATCACCGGGTGGTGATAACACAGGTATAAAAGATATTTACAAATTCATCAAGTTATCCCCTTCAGATATGCGTGCACTCGACTCTATGTGTGTTATACCTCAATGAGAAGTTAACCTAAGTATCGTGCAAGGTCCCCCAGTGTCAACAAAGAAATGCTTCTTTCTCTCCTGCAGCATAAGTGTATCTGAGGTTCTCTGAATGGGGCCTCTGCAAATCATATCAATAATAACAATACCTACACTGAGTGCCTACGTGCCGCAAGCCCTATGCACAGACTCTTCTATTACCTCCATTCATCCTTAAGGCATTTTCACGGGGTAGAGACCACCCACATCTGCACCCACATCACACAGGAAGAGTGACGTCTGAGTTGAAGTAATGTGTCCAGAGTCACAGGGGAAGTCGGGCGGTCAAGTGTCAGGACAGGGATTCAACACCAAAGCAGAGCTCTTACTTGGGCTTCCTGTCTCAGTGCTCTCTTCTCCCTCCGCCTCAGAGGCTCCGGCTGGCACGATGCAGCCAGCACACTTAGCATTAAGAAGAAAGGGAACCAAGGCGTGGGGTGATGGATGGATTGTCTCCAGCTGAGAACATTCTGGAAGTTCATTCAGGAACTACACCTGGTTTGGTACGAAGGCCTGTGCAGTCTGTTTGCTTGGTCTTTGTTAGCAGAAAGCAGGTGCTATAATTGACCTTATTCCCTTCCCTTGCGAGAAACACACCGTGGGGACAGTACAAATGCTGTCATAGGCTATTCGCTGGGGTTTTGGGGACACTGTGTAAGGACACTTCTGCCCGGGTGGCTCAATCGGTTCAGCCTCTGACTTCAGCTCAGGTCATGATCTCAGAGTTTGTGGATTTGAGCCCCGCGTCGGGCTCGGAGCCTGGAGCCTGCTTCAGATTCCGTGGCTCCCTCTCTGCCCCTCCCTCGCTCACGCTCTGTTTCTCTCTCTCAAAAATAAATAAACATTAAAAAAATATTTTTAAGATCTTCTTTAGGCCTTTTGAAAAGGCTGAAGGAGCTTTCTTTCTTCTTTTTCCAGCTCATACATTGTTATTAAATGTAACGTATATATAGAACCTGAAGCAGGCATTAGCCACTCTTTAATTAAAAAGTACGTAGCTCATGATTTTCCAGATGCCCTCTTTTATCATGTAATACCCTCTCAATTAGTTCCCTGAAGTTCTCCTGTGAAAGTCTGGTGGATCACTGATTTCTCGATTAAAAGAAGCCATCAGTTTTAAGCCCTGTAAAAATCCACCAGGGAGAAGGGTGGAAAGTAACTTAATGATACTTAGGCCCTATTAGTAACCAGGCCCCAGTGCCCATCCAAAGTGTTAACTGGGCTCCGGTGCATGAACACGGGCTCATCCGCTGCCCAGCCCTGCCCCCACAGTCACTGTCCACACACTCACTTTTCAAGATACCTGAAAATCCTGATTGCATGTTGGAATTTTTTTATTAAAAACTGGTCTTGGGGCGCCTGGGTGGCTCAGTCAGTTCAACACCCAACTCTTGATTTCAGGTCAGATCATGATCTTGTGGTTTGTGGGTTCAAGCCTCACATCAGGCTTTGCACTAACAGTGCGGAGCCTACTTGGGATTCTCTCTCTCTCTCTCTCTGCCCCTCCCCTGCCCTCCCCCCATAAATAAACTTAAGAAGACAGTTGGTCGTCTCTCACCCCTGCCCCTGAGCACCTGGGTAGCTCCCGCCCACAGCTGGGTCCGAGTGTTCACAGCCTGCTCCTCACCCCAAGCCCAGCTCCAGAGCCAAATGTCCACGTGCAGCGCAGAGGACCGAGGGGCCTGCCATGGCCATGCCGCCCCTGTGGCCACGCCTCACATCTGCCCTCCCTGCTGCCTCTGGGAAACCCCCTCCCCTGCTCCCTAGCCGGCCGCAGTCCAGCCCAGACTTGCTGCCTTTGACCACAGAGAGGAGGACACCTTGGTCACAGGCCCATCTTCTTCCACCCCAGTGTGTGCCCTGAGAAGACCATCTGGCCCGGTTCCCCATCCGCACCCGGCCCTGCGGGTGCCAAGATCTTCCAGATTCTCCCAAATCCTCCACCACCGTAAATACTCCCCCCTCCCCGCACGGTGAACTCAGGCACTACTGGCTAGAACCCCCTGCACCTGACAGAGATGACACGTTCTGCCGCAGACGAGCTGTGAGTGACCTCAAAGGCACGTATGACCCTAAACGCAGCTAAGGCGACAACGGGAGCCGTGCGTGGCCGAGGATCACAGTGCCCAGTGCCCACCCCGCATGCCCCCCGCCAGGCACAGCCTGGTTCTCCAGTGAGTCATCAGGAAGTCCTGGAAACACACACACACAGCCCTGTTCCCTTCTGGAAAATGGGCTTGGAAAGAAAAAAAAAATCAACGTTGGCACTGCTAAAAGGAAGGAAAAGCTATGAGAGCAAAGAAAGTAATGCCTAATCAGAAAACAATTTTCTTGAACAACTTCAGGACTAAATAATAAATTTGGTGATGGGTAAAATCACCTGATGATTTCAGTAAAATTTTCTGATGCAAATAAGCACACAAGACACAAGCCAACGTCCCCAGCAGAGCAAGAACCATGCGCTGTGTGGGAAATTGTACACAAGCACTGGCAGCCCCGGAAGCAGCCCAGCGGTCCGGGGATCCTTCCCGAGAGCCAAAGGTGTATTGTGCTAGCTGTGCCGAGGGGGGAAATATAATTATTTTGAAGTTATTTCTGAGAAACCATTTCCTGCCCATTGGCAGATGGCAAAGCCAAAGGTAGGCTCTTTTATGAGGCTCTTACCTGGTCATCATAGCGGTAGGTGAGGAACTGCTCTCCCGTTGTATCTTCGAGAAAACTTCCCTGAGGGGAGAGTGCAAACTCGGGAAGAAAATAGGCTCCAGGAGACTTCTCTGCTGTGGTCTGAAAGGCAAGGTCACGTGGTTACAAACCAGTGTCCGGTGAGCACCCCCCACGCAGTCTCTGAAAAGGGAGACTGCACCCAGTAAAGGCTGTACTAAGATAAAGGGAAGTGACCTCTCATAGTAAAGGCCAAGGTGAAAGGCACCAGGTGTCTGTGCTGAGGCACTGTTAGGCTAGGACATCACACGAGACCACCCCAAATTGGCGCACACAGTATTTATTCCCCAACACCTGCCCCCTCCCCACAACCTTCCAGTGATTCAGCTACAGTGCAGTTAACTTATTTTTTAAAAAAATTTTAATGTCTATTTACTTTTGATAGAAAGAGACAGAGGTGCGAGTGGGGGAGGAGCAGAGAGAGGGAGACACAGAATCTGAAGCAGCTCCAGGCTCTGAGGTGTCAGCACAGAGCCCGACGCGGGGCTCGAACTCAGGGACCATGAGATTATGACCTGAGCTTAACCGCCTGAGCCACCCAGGAGCCCCATGGTTAACTTGATTATTAAGTGTTGTTGTTATAAATCCATTGTTTTGAGGACTTTTTTTCTTTTTCTTCCTTCTTTCCTTTCTTCCTTCCTGTTTTTGTTTGGTGAAGGAGTGAGAAACAGATTTTTTTCCACACTACAAGTGAAATGCACATTCACTGTAGAAAGCTTTGAAGATATGGAGGAACAGAAAAGGAAATAAAACTCACCCTGTAATCCCTTCAGTCTGTAATAACCACAGATAACCATTTTTGGCATGTTTCCCAAGAGGCAATAAACATGGTTTTTGTGGGAAGACCCCATTTGGTTCATGAGAAGCTCATACGCTGGCATCTGAAGCGAGACGTAAGTCCCCTGCTCTCAGGGTTGAGGGGAGTCAGGAGGAGGACGTCATCGCTTAGACACTACGGGCTGGGGACGATGGCCCAGGGACTCGCTACCATCACTTGTCATCACCTGCAGCCTGGCGGAGCCCAAGCAGGAGGGGTCGGTGGGTGCATGGTGCTTCCCAGAGTCAGTGCCTGGACTGGCTGGAAAGGAGGGAAGAGACACAGGAGGCGGAGCCCCCGGTGTGTAGCCCATCTGATCCAAGAACACCGATCGAGGACTACGTCCCCCACAGGGGACCTCACTCCCCTGCTCGGGCGGGAGCACAAATGCAAGACAGAGGCCACAGGCATTACTCTGAGGAAAACACTGTCTGCAAACAGGAAGCGTGAGTCATCAAAGCACCCCTCGCATACCTCTGCTCCCCCAGCAGTCACATTCAAACTGCAGCGGGAACTCTGGTTAAGGCAAAACATCCATTTGAACATCATGCTTTAAAACGAGAAATCAGGGATGTCAGGGAGGCTCAGTGGGTTAAGCATCCGACTCTTGGTGTCGGCTCAGGTCATGAACTCGCAGTTCATGAATCTGAGCCCTGTGTTGGGCTCTGCGCTGACAGCACAGAGACTTCTTGGGATCCTCTCTCTCTCTGTCCTTACTGTGTGTGCTCACAAGCTTGCTCTCACTCGCTCTCTCTCTCTCAAAATAAATAAATAAAAAAGAGAGAAATCAGTATGTGATACCCTTGTGAGGGCACACAGAACAGATAACTCTCTGCTTTCGTAAGCCCCAGACTGTTCACAAACATTTCAAAATTTTCTTATTAAGTCTCATTCACATGAGGGTTTCAACACCAGGTGAGCAACAGGAATCTTCCCAGAGCCATGCATCCCCGCGTCCTCCTTTGCTGTCCCTCAGAGTGGCTCACCTGAGTCCGGATGACTCTGGTCCAAAGTGAGGAAAAGAGGAAAATCACCCGTAAAAGTTCTATCTGTTAAGCAGCGAAGCCTCCCTTGACACAGGCCTGTCACCTGGGGGATCAGCCCACCGCTGTGTTCTGGGCAGGGTTTCTCTATGATGCCGCCTTCTGGGGGGGAAGGGGGCCCTGTGCTGCACAAGTATGGGCTCACCTTCAGCCTCAGCGGGGTTAGGGTGCTAAGAGTCTGGCAGGGAAGTCTACCCAGGCCCCACCAGAAGGACAGACTGCGTCTACCACACCTGGCCAGCCTGAGTTCTCATCACTGCTGGACTTCATTTCTAAGTGGCCTGGGAAGGAAAAGGAAGAGGAGCTAATACGACAGACCCTACAGAGACACCATGGCTCTCACACATTCTGGCACCGTTTTATGGCCCTCAACACAAAACACCAGCAAAAGCAAAAATCTCTCCAGTAATGTTTTCACTCCTTGGTATTTATTAGCATAGGGGAAAAAAAAGCTTGATTATACCTGATTATATCTTCTGCTTTCTGACCTGTTATTCCAATCTTTCAATTTTACCAGGCTTAAAAAAAAATTGGACAGGGGGTACCTGGGTGGCTCAGTCACAGTTAAGTGTCCAACTTCAGCTCAGGTCATGATCTCACGGTTCCTGGGCTCAAGCCCCACATCAGGCTCTGTGCTGGCAGCTCAGAGCCTGGAGCCTGCTTCAGATTCTCTATCTCCCTCTCTCTCTGTCCCTCCCCTGCTCATGATCTGTCACTCTCTCTGTCAAAAATAAATAAATGTTAAAAAAATTTTTTTAATTAAAAAAAAGAGTGAGATGGGAATAAAAAAGTCCACGTGAAAACAGGAAGTGAATTTAATGATACAATTTCTTACTTCTGTGTATGTTTCCTAGGAAGTATGAATATGTGTCAAAGTCCAATTGTTCTCACCAAAGAAAAACACATCTAGGTAAACCTCAGGGGAAATTGTACAGAACTGCAAGAAAATGATGGATTTCATCTTAAGACAGTTCATGTAACCTGATTACTAAAATGCCTAGCGAACAGTCCATGAAAGTTAGTTGCTGTAGTTGTGATTTGCCTCTTTTGCCTTCAGAGTTCGTAGAATGATAATTTTAAATGCACCACAGCCCAGAACCCATGAGCAGCTATGTGCAAAGACACAGATCTAGTTATCAAGGGGGAGGGGGTGTTGGAGCAGCCTGAAATCATCACCTGAAAACAGCGCCCCCCCAACAGTGCTTTATATTTAGTGCACCATACATTCCACATGTACTTACTGAACACCTACTATACACCTGAATCCCTCTAGGAACTCTGGGTACACTGAGGAACAAGAAATAGGAGGTCCTTGCTTTTATGGAGGTTATCTTCTAAGGCAAAAAGACACCTAGTATGTAAACAAATTCATAAACAAGAGGAATAAAGTTCTACGTGGTCTAAAGGAAGCAAACAGGGCGACAGGAGAACAAAGTTGAGTCTGCAGAAAGAAAGGGAGTCAGTGAGGCTGACCCCATGTGGACAAGGAAGAGAGGAGTGTGAAGGGGAGAGAAGGAAGAAGGGAAGGAAGAGGCGGGACATTCGGAGCACCGTGGGCCCAGGCAGGGGTCAGACAACCCCTAGGAGTATCTCAAATGTTGATTCATCACGGAGGATGGGTTAGAAGAAGGCAGCAATGGGACCATAAAGGCCAGCTGGGAGTCTACTGCGCTAATCAATGTGAGAAGAGATGATTCCCCGGATGAGAATGACGACGGAGAAGGGGGCACTGAATGGGCTAGAAGTAGATCCTGCAAGACTTGCAGATGGGTGAGAAGAAGGGAGGACTCAAGGACAACTTCCGGGGGTCTGGCTTGAGCAGCAGGCTATTAAGGAATGCCATGGATGGGCAGCCCCAGCAGGAAGAGAGGGCCAGACAGGTGACAGCTGTGTCTGAGTCACATGACGTCTGAGATGCCGACGTGACATCCAAGCGGAGAGCTCCACTTGGCTGTGTCCTGTGCAAGTCTGGAGCTGACCAGAGCGGTGTCAGGCTGAAGCTCGGGATCTGGAAGTCATTGTTGACATTTTCAAATATTCACACACTCCTGGAAGAGAGAAGAGGGCAGACAAGGGGGCTTTGTCTGGGGCCCTCTGGAATTCTAGTGTCTAACCATGAGCAGAGGAGAAGCAAGCCAAAGAGATTAAAACCGGTAATCAATTAGAGAAGAATAAGCAGAAAAAAGACAAATATCGGACTGTGGAAGGATTCAGCATCAAAGGGAGCAGCCAACGACCTTGAATGCCCCTTTGGAGACTGAATAAGATGAGGCCGGAGAAGGGTCCTCAGGGCCTGGCAACATGGAGGTCATTGACGTGCACGAGAGGGGGTACAGTGCAGTAGCAGGGACCATGGAAATGGTTTGAGGGGTGGACGGCCTAAGAGGAAGAAGAGACGGGGGGAAGGGACACTTAAAACGGGGCAATGGCTAGAGGGAATGGGGAAGCATGGGCAGGATTGGTAAAGACGGGAGAAACCAGAGCACATCTGTTTGGTTATGGGAACAACCCAGTGGTAAGAGAGACCGTGGAGGGGATGAGACACTGCAGGTGTGAAGCCCTCAAGAAGACACAGGAATGGGGTCCACACTGTGCATGGAGAGCCTTGCCTTTCATAAAGGGAAGTAAGTCTACACCACACCCCATGCACCGGCGGACTCTGGACTTTGACCCTCCATCTTGCCCGTGCTTACCACTTGGACGCCCTTCTCCTGGGGCCTGAGATCACGCGCCCGTTTCTATCAGCCCACTTCCCAAGTAGGCTCTCCGGCCTCTTTCCCAGGCCTCTCTGCAACTGCCCACACCTGGAAGAGCGTGCCGCCCGCATTTTCTCCCCACCGGCCGCCTTGGGTGTCAGGTGGGCCCGTCCCGAGCCGGGCGTCCCTGAGAACTTCTGAGTTTCCTTCTGTAACAAACACCTGACACCTCTCTGTAGCCAGAGTGTCCATCGCTGTGTTTCTGGGCTGTCAGAGACAGCCACAGACCTTTCGTCTGCGCCTTCCGTGAGCTTTCTTTTTTTCTGCTTAAGTTCGGACTCGGTAGGAGGCGCCTGGGAGGCTCAGTCGGTTAAGCAGCCGACGTCGGCGTAGGTCATGATCTCATGGTTTGTGGGTTCGAGCCCCACGTCGGGCCCTGTGCTGAAGCTCAGAGCCTGGAGCCTGTTTCAGATTCTGTGTCTCCCCCTCTCTCTCTGACCCTTCCCTGCTTACACGGTCTCTCTCAGAAATAAATAAAAACATTTAAAAAAAATTTTTTTAAAGAAGTTCAGATCGTGCAGGACGAGGTACATTTGCCCCACATGTTCTTCTTGCCCAGGCTTCCGGACCACTCTGGTGCTGCATTCTGGAAGAGGTTCCGCTAAGGCCGAGGATAGGGTCTCCGCCACGTCAGCCGTGTCCCCACGGGACAGCGGGAAGGAAAGGCTGGCGGACCGCACCACCCCAGCCATGCAGGGCAGGGTCTGCCTGTGCAGCAACCCCGGCTCGACCTGTGGGAGCTCAGGGTCACGGGTGCCCAGAACAGCAGGTGCTGTCCAGGCCCACATCCCAGTCCTTGTCGCTGACAAACAAGGAAGACTCTCTACCCAAGTCCTTTGACCAGGATCCTCACTGCTGAGGAAATTTCTGGTCATTCAGTTACTCTAAAGCTCTGGCACAACCTAAGTGCTCTCTCTGGGGCGGCAACGAGGCCACACGCAGGTGACAGTGCACCGCAAGGCTGTGTGACATCTGAAGGCTGTACGGTGGCAGCCCAGGGTTAGGACAGCCCAGCACCCGAAAACACCCTCTCAGTGACCTGATCCAGCCCGTCTACCGCACAAATCCTGCCAGATGTCCTGCAGCCTCTACCTGAATACCTTTCATGACGGGGAGCTCACTTCCCAAGGCAACAGGGATCTGTGAGAATCTAGCAAGTTCACAGACCCCACCCTGGTCAGGACAGGCCCACTGCTCCCCAGTGGAGGTATGAGGTGCCCTGGGCACCAGCACCGCCTTCCGGGCATCCCCTCCGGCAGCCGCCCCTGCCCCTCCCCCCAGACATGCACATGCTGAGCTGGGTCCCGGAGTCCGCGCACAGGGAGCATCCGAGGCCAGGATGACAGACAGCAAGGCGCTGGAGAGACACTCCGACCCCAACCCACGTCTCCGACCATCCAACAAAGCACCGTTAGAGGCCCTCCCGAGAGGAAGCCGGGGAAGAAGGAGTACGAGCACCCGCCATGGGGCAGGGTTTGTGACAACGGCCTCGTCGAGTCCCCACACGCACCTGCGAGGTGGGGTGCCCCTGGCCTCCTCTCACACCCAAAGAAACCCAAACGGGGAGGCAGGCAGCCCGAGCAGGGGGCACGCACCCCCCAGCTGCCAAGTGTGAGTTCCCCTCCGTTCCGCCTCCCTGCCTCCCTCCGGGGAAAACAGTCTGGGGGAAACCGGGCCTTCCTTTGGGAGAAGCGGCCCAGTTCACCGGTGACCGCAGGAAGCCAGCGCCACACGGACACCAGGTGGCAAAGCCCACGCGCCAACTTCCTCGCCCAGGAGGGAGCGGACTTCTGAGGCATCAGGGAGGTGGCGGTGCGCGGCTCCTCGGGGACCCGGTGACCCAACAGGTCAGGCCCTTAAGTAGCGAGAGTTGCAGGGAAGGCAGGGGGAGGGAGGCCGGGCCAGGAAGTGCGCAATCTTCCCAGGGCACAGATCCAGGGCCCGAGAGAAGCTGCCAGAACGCATCATCCGCCCAGCCGCTGTCCACAGCTGCCGCGTCACCAGGGACGGGGGGTCAGGAGGAATGCAAATGGCCCCTCCAGGGACTGTGACTCTGAGACCTGGGGATGCAGCTGTGTCCCCTCCCCCTCCAGCTGAAGGCTCTGCCTCCGGCAGGAGGGAGTGAATACGTGATGGCGAGTCGAGGACCAGACTTCAGGGTCCCAGGCCCCGGTCTGTACCTCGTGAGGGCGGGGAATGCCTATTAGGGCCGTGCAAAAGGTCTGGCTGATATAGAAGGAGGGAGAAGCAGGCGCGAAGATGATGTCCTATAGGCCATCTGAGCACACGTGTGTGAGCACAGCCAAACACCACGCCGCTAACCTCTGCAGACTCCCGGTCCGTGAAGGCCACCAGGCCGCTGAGCCACGTGGCACGGTGAAGCCACGCCTCCGCACCCTGAGAGCCAGGCCGCAGGGTTCCCCGCCATCCATTCTCAAGGCCCGGCCCTCCAGCCCATCGAGGCCTTGCATCCCAACTCTACTGACCCATATCCGCATCGCCGTCACGTTACTCGACGTCGGCCCGAATCCGAGCAGCACGGCGTCTGCCTGCATCCCTGTGACTGCCACAAGCACAGAGCGGGATCGGGGCCAGGACCCGGGCCCCTTACCAAGCTACCAAGAGCCTGTCTCCAGGCTGACGGTGACTCTACCCAAGTGCAGTCCCTTCATTTCAGATGTCTCCACGTGGGCCACTCGGGGACTCAAGGTGCTTCACACCTGCAGCGGCACAGACGAGGCCCACGAAGCAAGACGCGACACGGAGAGCCGTGACCCCGCCAGACCTTAGCGAGGCTGGGACAAAAGCTAACCCCTAGGAAGCGAAGCCCCGAGCCGCTGATGCAGGATGGGTACGCGACACACCTGCGCTTTGCAGAAAACCGTCAAGGCTCCCGTCGGGAGCATCAACGCCCGGGAAGCCCATCTCTATTCCAGGCAGCCAAGCTCGGTGGGTGTGAGCTCGCTACCAGGATGAGAGGCTGGGACCCCTCCTTCCGACAGTAGCGTCGCCGCAGGTGCGGCGGCCAGAACCCCCCAGGCCCCGGGGACGGTTTGCAGGGACGCTGCTCTCCGGGGGGTCCCGGGTGCTGGTGCTCCCGGCCGGGATGGCACAGGACCTTACAGTTTCCACCTTCCAAAGCCCACGAGGCGGGGGATCAGGTTAACCAAGGCTTCCGTTTTGTGTTTTCAAGTAGGATGTCATCATTCTAAGATCTTTCAAAATCTCAGGTGTCACAGTGCCTCCTGATTCAACATGACACACATTTACTTTGGCAGGACTGGAAAAACGGGCGGAAGGAAAATCCAGTTTTGCATTTTTGGGGGAGTTTTTACAAATTAATGCTAGAGATTTAAGATCTGTCTTCTCAGGGCACGTGGCGGCTCAGTCGGTTAAGTGTTGGACTCTCGATTTCAGCTCAGGTCATGATCTCATGGTTCTCGAGTTCGAGCCCCGTGGTGGGCTCTGTGCTGACAGCGTGGAGTCAGCTTGGGACTCCCTCTCTCCCTCTCTTTCTCTGCCCCTCCCCTGCTAATGAACATGCTCTCTAAAACTAAATAAATAAAACTTTAAAAAAATTTGTTTAAAGATTTGTCTCCTCTTCACCACCAACTAATTAACTTATTCTCTGGATGTTGCTGGGTTGGAAGACAGGACATTTGGATAACTATCTGAGTGTAGTTTCAAACTTCAGCTTCACTCTGGTCCCATTTTCCAAAGAAATCTGAAGGGCAGGCCCTCCTGGACCCCCTCGGGAGCTGTGAGGTGGGGTCTGCCTGTGGGCGTGCGTGCTCGGCATGAGCTGCTAAACACAGAAGGCCTTTCCCTGAATTTATCACGTTAAGACTCGTTAGCAGACTGGAGCTTGGATCTGATAAACAGCATTCACAGCACTAGTCTGCCAGCCACTAAACACATACTCTCTAATTTTCTCTCTTTCTCTCCTTCCCTCCCTTTCCCCCCACACAGACAGATGGACAGACACACACACACACACACACACACACACACGAACACACAAAGGTGAACACATCTTTAATCAGCACTAGCAAAGCAGAACCAAAATCATGAGTGAAAAGATGGTGCTGGAACAGACTCCATCTTCCGATCCCTGAAGACGGAAACCCGACAAAGAAGCCCATGACCTGCCTGCGTCATTGATCCGTCGTCAGAGCTCAGCGTCGGGCTTTGTGCTCGGAGGACATTGGACAATTAACCTTCCTTCCCGGACAAAGCCACTCAGGCCGCGCCTCGGCCCCCGCAGAGCCCCGCATGATGGATGTTCTCTCCGCCACAGAAAGACCGAAACGCTCCCGTGAGCACCACGCTGGCACTTGACGAGGGGCTATTTTAGAGCACCATGATGGTTCTGGAACGGGGAGAGGACGGAAAGCCTCGCCCGCCAGTCAACACCCTCCAGGTGCCCCTTCGCTAGGGCCCACCCCCAAAACAATTTTCTTTAAGAGTTCATTCTTCAAGAGCTTGAAGTCAGCTGACCCGCTGGAATCAGCCTCAATTCAGAAAATGTCACGTGGAAATCAGCCTACCCTGAAATACCTCAGGGGGAAACACTGAACACTGTGTCCCCCCAAACAGGGCTCTATAGGCAAAGAAAAACACTAGGGGCGCCCGGGGGCTCAGTCGGTTAAGCATCCGACTTCGGCTCAGGTCATGATCTCACAGTCTGTAGGTTCGAGCCCCGCGTCGGGCTCTGTGCTGACGGCTCAGAGCCTGGAGCTGCTTCCAATTCTGTGTCTCCCTCTCTCTCTGCCCCTCCCCACTCATGCTCAGTCTCTCTCTCAAAAATTAATAAAACACTTAAAAACATTTTTTAGTAATTTATAAAAAAAGAATCAGTGACACTGTGGGGCACCCGGGTGGCTCAGTTGGTTGAGCATCTGACTCTTGATTTTAGCTCAGGTCATGATCTCACAGTTTGTGGGTTCGAGCCCCCTATCGGGCTCTGTGCTGCCAGCATGGAGCCTGGAGTTGCTTCAGCTCTGTCTCTCTCTCAGATATAAATGAAAACATTAAAAAATTTTTAAAGAAAATAAAAGGCCCAAATGGATGGTCATCTCAAACCTGACTCGACCGTGAACTCGCTAACCCAACACCTCTCCCACCACCCCACCTCCTGGTCCGGTCACCCCGGAAGTCGGCAGAGGGGGGACGCCCGGTGTCCAGGGACCGTGAGCAGCTGCTGTGGGCTGAGGGTGCTGTGTGGGAACAACCGTGGCAGAGCGGTGTTTTGGGGCCACCTCTGTGACCCTCGCCGCTCTGAGGCGGGGCCTTGACGCGCGGGGAGCGCTGTGAGGCCCAGTGTGGCCGCTGGGAGCTACACTCTGATCCAAAAGTGGAGTGTGCATTTTCCCACAGCCTCCTCGCCGCTGACACGCATGACTGCCTCTCTGGCAGAGAAAAGGCATTTTTGCTTTTTAAATAAAGTACAAACAACTATTTTATTTTTCCAAAGTGGAGGAGAGGGGAACTCCCCAAAGCATGGCGCGCCCAAGCGGTTCTTGGGTTGAGAGCAGCTATTCAGACTCACGGTCCACGCGTGTTTATGACGCACCGACGGTGGACCGGGGCCGTTGCTGACACAGGGAGTTCAGCTCAGACGAGAGTCCCTTTTCCCAAGGAGCTTAGAGTCTTAACTAGGAGGAGCAGAAAATGAGCAAAAGAGACGAGAAGG